TGAGAGAAATAAACTGGGATGCCTCATAACTTCATAGCATTATGCAGCATTTAAATTGATGGGTGATAATTTAGCTTTGCTATTTTTTTAAAAAGAGAAGCCTCTAGTACTGTACTCCACACGTTGTTTTTGCAATCAGTAAGTATGCAGATTTCTATTCCACTTAGCACAATTTGAAATTATCAGCAAGTTAAGTATATTCAACTGCTTATCTACAGAGAGGCATGTAGGACTCCAATTAAGTTTACATGGATAAATGCAGATTTGTGTTTGCAGATGTCAAGATGACAGAAGCTTAATACTGTAAAAAGGCTAATCAACACTGAATATGTTTAGTGTCAGTAAATATTTATAGTGAAAACATTGCCTATGGTTTTGTGCCTTGGCATTCCAAGTTCTGATTTTTAGTGAGTAAAAATGTTGCGTGATATCCTGTTCATAAACCTGCTATAAAATTTTTGTTTCCTATAAAATTAGTTTTATTGTCTTTTTCATTGGTTTTTTTTGGGAAGACAGGTTAGGAGTTAGGCTACAGTTTGTAAGTTAATGAAAAATCTGGTAAATTTAGCAGGTTTTGAGGCAAATGTAATCCAGAGAATGAGGAAGGGAAGGAGGCAAGATAGAGACAGGGAGTATGGGGAGCAATTTCTTCTAATTATAATTTTATTTTATGTTTTTTAATGAGGACTTCTTCAAATAGTGGTTACTAATCAGCTCTGGTGAGCTATGTGATTATTTAATGTGCTCATGTATTTATTAGGCAATAACTACAGTTTAACTGGAAAATTAATTGAACCTCAGGAATACGTGTTTGTTATATGTAAAACATACAAACATATAAATTCTTTTATTTCATTATATCTCCAGAAGTTAAATGCTAGTCTGCTCTCTTTTACAAATGTATTCTGGAAAATAGCATGTCAAAGCTGAAATCCAAGGAGTACGCTTTAGATTGAGCTTCTACTGATGTAATATTGTATGAAGAATACAGCCAAGTGAAATAAAAAAATAGAGGTATAAGGAACATTGATTATTATTTTTTATTATATTTTGACTTGGAGAAAAGAAAAATATAACTGTAACTGCAGTTCTGCATCAGTCTTAACAGTGTAAAAAAAATGATGCTGAAGTGAAATTTTGTTTTCTGGAGGGGAAATAAATTGATACAGTTTAGGATTTTGTTTGTTTGTTGGAAATGTCATGGCTTGTCAGGTTAACAAATGTGATTTTGTTCCTGGCAGACTGCAGACCTGGTCAAGAAAAAGAAAAATTCCCTGAAAACCACTGCAACATAAATACAATATACTTCAGTTTAGTGCCTAACTTTGCATGAAATAAGCACTGCCTGTTAGCCTCTGTTTGATCCTTTGAGAGTGTGGGGCTAATGTCTGGCCAGTGTTTTGGAAGCAGCAGGTAGTCAGGAGCAAGCTGCTCTAGGGGTCCATATTTCTGTAGCCTAGCAGTTACTCACACGCAGATGGAGACCTTATGAACTTTGACAGAGGTCACGCTAAATTGCAAATCTAAAACTTCTAGACTTCTGAAGGATTACACTGGTACTATTTTTTTTTAAAAAGCCATATGATTGGGAACATCACTAAAGATATCCACTCAGTTTTGAGAATTAGATCAACCACACAGTCATTGCTCACATAATGATCATGGGGACTGATAAAGATAGCCTTTCATGGTACTTTAAAGGGAAACCGTTCCACATTAAAATTTTAATTTGCATATGTGAAATACATATGTTATATTGCTTCCCAAACACCTAGGCTTGTCTGCTCTGTTGAACTTGTTAAAGGAATTTTGGAGCTCAGAATGTTGCAGAAGCCTCTGGTTTTTCTGCTGCACATGAGTTGGAAATAATTAAGATACTCATAGTATTTTTTTTGATTTCGGGTCTTTTGGGGCAGTCAGTTGAGACACCAAGCTCTGTCATCTGTCATCAGCCATCATCTCACCAGGGATCTTATAGCAGTTTAGGAAAGAAAAACATGAAATGATCTGGTTACACATTGTAGCATGTTTAAATTCTGGATTCAAAGTCAGGGAGCATTGAAGAGCTCCTCTTTGTCTTCTAATTACAGACCTGAAGCTGTACATAATAGATGAAAATCTCTCATATTTCAACTTATTATTCAAATGGGAAATTTTGGGGGGATTTTGTAGCGGCCAAAGAAAGACTGTTTGTTTCCAAGTTATAGTCATTTAGCATAAGATTTTTTCAAATATTTTATTTAGTATAGATGCAATGTGAGTTTCATTCAGTGTTTATGAAATCAGGGTCCATAAATGACTATATATATAGGCTGCAAGCAGCAAGGAGGCTGATCCTCTTTTAATCAAATGGTCAAATTTTTATTTTGTCATCATTGAACTGGTTGTGTAATGTGCTACTTAATGGATCATGAACTAGTCTTTAAAGCTTATGACTTCATGATTCAGTGAGGCTGAATCTGACTCTGTATGTTGAAAGTGGTTTCAGTGACGGCCACACAGAGAGCTTGAAAATTCACACCAGCGGCAGACTGTAGGGGAAAATAGCTTTGAAACAGTTTGAACTGGTCTGCATATAAAATAACAAGAATGTTATTCATGCTTCTAAACTGGAAAAACACAAAGGGAAAAGAAGTGGTGCAAAAGAATCTGCTTCTGTAGCTACAGCAGTTTGCAGTTGCTGTACTGCTGGTGTTTTTGCATTGGTGAGCTCTCGATAGGGGAAGAAATCCGTAATAGCTTAATTTACAGTTGAGAGACCTGAGTTTACAATGACTTGCTATTCATGTTATTTTAAACTAGAGCTATTCAAAAAAATGTGCAAATAACTTTCAGTCATGTCATCGCTGTATTAATCATAATAACTTCTAAGTAAACATATCTAAAGTTGAAGTGCAGAATCTTGTGCTTTACAAGAGATATGGATGCACAGACAAATTTTTACAAGATAAACTAATTTGTGATGTGCTCTGCGTTTTTTACTTCATGGCGTGCACCTTACACCAAAGTTCATGTGACCTGGAAAGCATGAGGTGATTTGGAGTTGCCTGTCCCTCTGACGCTGAGAGGAAAGAATTTGAATGACTTTGTATTTCCTGAAGGGTGAGAATGTGCGCGTGCTGCACAGCTGAGGTTGGATAACCTCTTCCCTACAGCAGCTTCCTCATTTATCCATACCTGGAATGGATGGAACAGCTGCAGCCAACGCTTGGAGTTTATCCTCCTGAATTACACATTTATTTCAGCTTCTCTTAAGAAGTATTAATGTTTATGAGGCAGTGTTATTCGGTGTAGTCATGTTGGGATTGAACTGTGGTGGCTTTTCAAATTTTCTGTTACAATCTCTTTCCAAATTTGAGAAGACAGTTGAGATAAAGATGGTGCTTTTCTCTTACCTGCATAATCTTAAACTTCCCTTTCCTGAGATGATCTGTGTGCTACTCTCAGAAGAGAAAGTATCTTCTCTTGGAAAATTGTTCCGAGTGCAGTAAGCAGAAAATAATTTAAATTATCTGGGGGGTTTTGTTCTCGGGGATTTTTTTGCACCTCCTTTCCTCTCCCACCTCCCATATAGACTTCTTTGTATTTAATACTACAGTGAAAGGATTATTAATGACCATCATATTTGGTGCTAAACTGCAAGTATTTCTGGCAAAGTGCAGTTTAGCTTTAAGTTACTAATTTAGTTATGCAGCCATGTTAAATTCAAAGAAAAATAGAGCTTGAAGAATTTTAGAAAGTCATCTAGTCCCACTGCCTGAACTAAGGTATACCAGCTATATCTGCATCCTGACAGGTGTTTCTTTAACCTGTCTTTAAACACTTTCACTGACTCTAGAATCTTCCCTAGGCAATCTCCTTCCAGTGTTAACCATCCTGAGTACGTATCTTGTGCTGACATCTGCTCCTGACTATGTTTTTTCCAGCCTACTCTGGAAATGGGATATTGTTTATTCCTTCCTCTCTGAAGAAACAAGTTAATCTTTTACTCATCTGAGGAAAGGGCAAAGGACTTACTGTTTTGTGTGCAAGCATTGGACTGACACTGGCAGCATCCTTTGAGCTGTGTAGCTTTAGATTGCATGTGTTAGAAGTTGTCTTTCTTTGCTGGCACAAAAAGCAGGGGAAAAGAAGAGAAAGAAAAATATAAAAAAAAAAAAGAGACGAGACAGGCTGAGAAGTGGAATGAAAGGAGATGAAGAAATTCAGAAAAAAAGAAAAAGAATATATAATATTCAAAGAAATTAAAGGAAAAAGGTGGCGATAAGGGCTCTATGATAAGTAAGTTTTTAATTAAAAAAAATTTTTTTGGGGGGAGCTATATGCCTAGCAGAGTCCATGGAATGGTGCTAAAGGGGGAACGGGGCATTTGATAAAAGAATTGGCCAGGCAAGGTTAGATAGAGGTCTGTAAGGAGCAAGCAATAGATTTCTTTGTTTTATAAGTTCCACAGGAGTCTCTTACTACTTACAAATGATAAAGTTATAAAATTATATATAAGTGATAAAACCTTTTACTGTCTTTCATTACTATGATTGGAGTGTAACATGGCATGCATCTTCCACGGGAGTGTGCCTATATAAGGTGGCAGGATGACAAGGTGGACCAGGGTTCACTGGAACTGGGCTGATACTTAAGGTCATGACTAGCCTGTCATTTCAAGGAGATGGCTCTGGTCTTGCCTACATCTGTTAGGACTGAACCAAAGGTCTCTTTGGTTGTACTTGCTGTCATTGACTTAACTAGGTGTTTCAATTAGGCTTGGTGAGGTGAAAATTTGGAAGGTTTTGCTTCTTAATTAAACTGAATTCTTAAGGAGGGTATCTTGAAGCAGGAGCCGAACAAAACTCTTATATCTGCATTTGATTACATCAGTTCTATGGTCTCTAAGTTGTGAACAAGTATTTCTTCTACAAAGATAAGAGCTAATACTTTTACAAGTTGTTTCCTACTGTAATTGTGATTAATATGTTTACCTGATTTGTATTGATTTTTTTCAGGTGTGGCTCACAATATTTCTTTACTGCGAGAAGTGATCATCCATCCACGCTTTGTTCAAGGAGACATCAGCACTAAATTCCTTCCTGAAGTCTATCCTGATGGTTTTAAAGGTTTGTTCCATTTGTTTCTTTTTTTCTTGAGAGGTGGTGTTTCTGATTGTTATTCCTTTATATTTATAGACTGACAAGTTCCCCAATCAGCCTTTACTCTTTTTTCCTCAAATGTATCTGTGCATACATGAAATTAGAGTTTTTCAATAATGCATAATATAGTTGAAACAGTTACTTACTTTACTTTCGAGATGGCAAAATACATACTTGTAGTGACAAAGTAGTAAATTAAGTACATCTGAAGTCAAGAAAAACAATTTATAGGTGATACAAAATATGTAAAGTAAACATCAATTCAACTCTACCATGCTGTTGTGCTTCATTACAGACAGTGCTCCTACCATTAACTGAAGATAAGCTTTCTCTTTGCTCAACACTATTGCTTCTCCAGTGAGTTTGTTCAGCATCTTTAGAATCACCTTTTGGCACCCTTTGTATTCACTGTCGCACTGTCAAGAGGATCTGGTATTTTATCAGAGTATTTCAGTAACCTAGTCTTAATACTCATTACACACACAGTAATGGGCATCACCTTGAAATTATTAACTCATACACTAGGTTAACATAAACAAAAATGCAAATGTTTCTTTACAATATCCCAAACAACTCAGCTGCAAAAATGTATGACAACAGTTGGTAGAGAAATGTAAGTAAACAAATAGGTTGGTTTCCTTTTGCAAGGATCAAATTTTAAAAGGTTGTCTTTTCTCTCAGCCAATCTGCTATAGATGTTTTCTTGACCTGTGTGGTCAGAGTTTCAGTCCTTCTATACAGGCCTCACGCCTCAGTTGGCATCCATCAGGCAGAACCTATTCTTTATTTATTAAAAAAAAAAAAAAAAAGACAATGTCTATAGCCCATCATTCATGGGTCCTTTATGAATCCCATGGAGATACCTTTCTCCCCCATTCATCATTAATCCAATGTGGCAGAATCCTCATCCCGCTCTGGAGATGTCACTGCCTGATTGGCAGTCATTGGGCATGACTGGCACTTTGCCAAATTGTGGTCTCATTAAGGAGCAGAACAGATTTTTTTTTACCTGAGGACTCAGTGTGTGAGTTTGCAAAGAATATTCATCCACAGAACTACTTTGTCATGATGTAATTGAGAATTCTGTGTGATACAGTCCTACAGGTGGGATTAATGCATCCAGCTTGTTATTGCACTCCTGACTGCAACCAAAGCAATAGGAGTTAGTAACCTTGGGTGGCAGTCAGCTTGTGATGGTTGAAGCTCAAAAGTTTCTTTGTTGTATTTGCTAAGATGTATTTAGCTAATCTTCAAGTAACTCAGCTGGCTTTCATCCAGCATAGGCTTGAGGGTACTCTGATTTGCTCTGAAAGCTCAGTGCTGCTGATGAGCTGGTCTGTCTCCCTTCCCTGACACCTTAATATAGAATCTCATGTCCTGTCTCTTTTGATGGTTCTGGGACTTTTCAGTCCCTTTCCTCAGCGAATTCAGTTCCCTAAACCACCATAAAACTGCATTTTTAATTGTTGCTGCTTTTGTTGGGGCAGTTTTTTGAGAGTTCTTGGGTTGACTTAGCTGATGAAGGAATCTGGTGAACTCCAGCAGAGTGGAAAGTGAGTGGAAGGCTAGGAGTGGGGAGAGAGCAATGGAGAAGAAAGGCGAGGATGTAAGGTGTTAGATAGGTTTATACCATGTTGTGAAAAGGCAGCCTTACCTCACACACAACTGGGAACAATAAAAACATAGACCATTTTACCCTTATTTGTGATAACGTGTCTGTTGGGGCCCTTGGTCACTTGTAAGAAGCTGTCACGGGTTTTGCTGACCCAGGAGGATACCCCTTGCTCTGTATTTTTGACTACTGAAAAGCACTCTTGTCTTTTGGTCTTTTATTCTTGTTTTAATATTTTATATTGCAAAGTTAACCTGTGTATAATCGGTTAATTACTTGTCATCCCGCAATTTGTGGGCTGACAAGAAAGTTGTTTTGGGGTCATCTGGCTTGAACTGTATATGCTGGTATTTGTGTGCACATACACACTGATGCAAATGGCTGATTAGTGTTGCAGCCTGAGGTAAACAGTGATATTGTATTAACAGAGTCTTAAAGATAAGCTTTTGCTCTAGACACCAGAAGACACAAGAAGAGATACGGTGACAGTTAATAATAGAAACTAATGAATGGCACATGTGAAAGGACTAGACTTTGTTCTTGCTGTATGGAAAATCTCACTCTTCTCCTTCCATGTATCAAATACAAGCAGGTTTTAGCCTTCTTAATGATTGAAAAATGCAGATATCGTTATTAAAAAGCATTTATATTTCAAGTTGAGTACTGATTCAAAGCTCACTGAAGTAATTGAGAGCCTTTTTAATGATTTAGTTTGATCTGGATCAGACCCTTCTGGCTTAGAAAAAAAACGGTGAGTTGAATTAGAGGATAGTTTTTTACCTATTGAAAAATATTTCTGCAAATGCAAAGAATCTGGTGAGAACTGTTGAAGGCAAGCAAGGGTTGGTGGACAGATCACGGGTAGAAGCTCAGCAAGAGAAACAAAGGCAAATAACTTAGTCAATATAAGTCCTCTACTCACTTCAGCTAACTTTTTTTTTTTTTTTAATATAAATACCCAGGGTAAACTTTGCTAGGAGGATTTGAAAATTAGGTAGCTTCATATATCTTGTTTATAAGTGATGTGTAGCTGTAAAAAAAGATCTGTGATAATCTGAAAAAAATAGAGCAATGTGTAGCCAAAGCGGATTTGGAAATACCTAGAAATATGTGCTGTTATTAACAGTAGGAATCCATACCAGCTGTGTTTTAAATTTGGAAAACTCAAGAAATAAAAAAAAAATTCAATGAAGATGCGTGCTCTATTAATGCTTGAGCACAATCCAGTGTGTTTCTTTTGTAAACTACACAATTGTCACTGTTGGTCTACATCAATGGTAAGTAATGAACGTCAGCTGTGTTCTTTCTGGTGACTGCATGAAGTACTGGCCCATTTCTCATGTGCATTTTTCTTCAAATCTAAATATTAACTTTAGTCTTACTTAAGAGTAAAATAAGAGATGCTTTGTTTTCCAGACTAATTTTCAAGGGTTTCAGTACAAGTCCTTTATTAGAAGGCTTTTACTGTAAGTTAAGAAAAAACTAATTATTAGAAATATCTTGGCAGTTTTTCCATTAACCTGTGATGCCCACTTCAAATTACGTCTAGAACAGGAATGTTTAGTAATTTTCATGATCAGGGTTTAACTCTTTTTCTTCCTTTCTTTAAGCATTCATTAACAAAACCAGTTTGGTTATTGCAAGTTATTTTAAAATATTGCTCTGCTGAAACTAACCTTGCTCAGGGTATGATTAGTGTGGGAAAACAGCTGCTGTCGTACCCTTTTGTTGTCTATAGGAGGGATGGATGGCTAGAATGCCGGCTGGCAGTGGGTCAGCTGGAATGGGTTATGGCTCTGGGCACATATGCGTGTTTTGGGGAGGAGTGTGGATCTGAGGGCGGGTGCAGCAACACTGACTAGGTCAGATGACACAAATATATCTTAGAGTGGCCTCCAAGCACTTTACTCGCAGAACAAAAATGTTTACCAAGCATGTAGGTGTAGCTTGTACTAGTTAGAGTATTATCAGATGAGCTGTCTTTCTACAGCTTCCAAGCAGCCTGGGATGCCTCTGTACTTCCTAACCTGCCTGGTGAGAAAGGAATATATTACCTATTATCCCAATTTTATAGGCACGGGACACAAAGACCTAAGGGGAGTCCTTGACAAAGAACAAATTAAACTCAAGTATCCTTAGGTTAGTGCCCTATCCATTGGAACATTCTTTGTGGTTCAGTCTGTTTCACAGTTAATCCATCTTTTCCTGGATATCTGTTTGAATGCTGAGATTTTTTTTTTTTTTGGTCTACTTTTCCTGGTTATTAAATAACATCCCAAATGCTTGGTCAGTCTCTTTGGGAGAGACATTTGGTGCAAATGAGAAATGAGGTATTTTGCAAGAGATATTTCAAAAGCCAAACACAGGGGGGAAAAAGGAAAAAGAATCCTTTGCTTCCCCCTCTTCTAGCATGTTTACCTGAAGAGGAAGAGCAGAAGTTCTGATGGACAATCCTTTATGCTAACTGATTTTTAATACAGAAGGGAAGAAAGAGGAAATGTGTCTCTCCTGCAATTGTGTTTGGCTCCAGAGGGTGTGTATGAGGTGAAGGCTTTTAGATACATTGTGTTTGTTATAATTGCATGGGTTGAAGGGATTGATTATTCAACTTTACTCAACACTTATAAACCACCCCTGAAATACTGTGTTCAGTTTTAACGCCCTCATGCATGTAAGAAAGATGTCAATAAACTTCAGTTAAGTCTAGTGAAGAGCCACGAGGGTTGTGGTGGGGTTGGAACAGAGGACCTGTGAGGAGAAGCTGGGAAAACAAGGCTTGTTTAGCCTGGAAACAAGAAAGCTTAGTGTGGCCCTAATGGCAGCCTTCTCGTACCTCTGAGGGGGTTCCCAAGAAGACAGAGCCAGGCTCTTCAGTGAGGTACACATTAGTTGGAGATTTTCAAGACCTGACTGCACAAATCTCTGTGCAACCTGGTCTGAATTTAATGTTGAGATTGCTCAGTGGGGAGGGGAGGCGCATTGAATAATCGGAAGACCTCCCAAGGTCCCTTCAACCTCAGTCATTCTGTGATTCTGTTATGAACGAAAGCGCTTTTTAGGTGAATTGGGACTGTAGATATGACTTCTAAATTTCAGTCTGGAGGCTTTGTTATTAGTTGGAGGGGGGAATACAGCTTCCCCTGGTTGTGTTACTGTTAGAAGGGAGAGGATGGTTGCTGTTAATACCATTCATCTTCTCCGCACTGGAATCTAATCTTTGTCTTCATTTTATGAAGCTACTGGATTATAAAAATTGACTGAATTTATAGCTTACTTGACTTTCTTCTTTCTGACAGGTGAAGCCAAGAAACATTCCTTGGTCTGTTACTAATCCCTTTATAATTTAAAATAGTAGAGGTGTCCTTTCTGTATGCTGTACCATCCATCTTATAAGTGATCACAAACTCCCTGAGAGACATCTTCACTGTTCTAAATGGTTTGAGATTGCATACGCAGACAATATTGTCTGTCTTTTACAATGACCATCTGGGTGGAGCAAAGCTCTGCTGGACTTCAGAAGAAATTAAAACCTCAAATAACATGCAACTTTGATTTCTGCTCCAGCCTACTTGGTATATATTGACATCTATAATGGTCAACTTCAAAATTCATTGGGGAAAAACTCAAGCCAAAACAGAACCTAGGAATGACATAAACATTGCCTGCATTGGTATGCATCTGAATTATGCATTATACTCTTGGTTTTACCCATTTTGCTTTTAAATTTTATTCTTCCCAATCAGAAAACAGTCACTTTGCAAGTATTAAGTAACAGACCCAGGCATGTAACCCGGGCTTGTTTGTTTTGGTTTTTTTTTCCCCTGTAATTGATAGTAGGAAACACATTTCTAGGACAAAATGCAAATGAGACTGTTATGGGAAAAATTACCTTTTATGTAATTTAATTTGAAGTTGGTTATGTAAAGTAATTGCATGAACCTTTTTGACTCAGCTTGGGGGATACTGGGATAATATTGATTTAAGCAATCATAACATCAGGGAAATGAGAGAGAAATACTTTTTCCTTGTCTTCCTTTTGGTTCTGTGATTTAGTAGTAATAGATGCGTGCGGTCTAGTTTTAAATAGTATGAACAACAGTGTTTCCACTCCTTCAGTTGTGACTTAATTTTATAGCCATTAATCCTGTTTTATGTTCACTTTCTATAATTCAGTTCAATGATGATAGTGAGAATGCGGACGTATACCCCAGGTTGAGCAGGGAGATTTGGGAGCTGATTTGCATTTTATGGTGGAGGTGAAATCTCAGTGTAGCCCAGGAGTCTGCAGTGATGAGGGTAGGAAAGAGCAAGGACAGAACTTCCCATGTTGGAAGCTGGGGAACCTTTGCTGCTTACTCATTTCACTCCCCATCAAGGCAGCACTTGGACAAATGCCCCAGAGGTAGCTTTGTTACTTTTCAGATTGATCTTCTGTGTGGTGAACATGAAAGGCTGTGTTGTTATATCTTTATTGATGGTGAATATTAAATTATACCTAATGACATCCAATTGAAATCCTGAGGGTTAGCTTGTAAAGTAAAATAAGACTTGAAGGGAAACATAAGTATCGCTATCTGGTGCATTTGTGTATTTCCAAATATAGTAATGTAATTGAAAATTTAACTTTAAAACTGCTTAAAATTCTGCTGAGCATAGCAGGTGAGCGTAGCAGCAAAGCAAGAGCAGAAGGCAAGGGAAATGGGGCTGGAGTTGGGAGAACTAAGGCAGTCTGTCTTGTGTAATAGAGGTAGATTGCCATCCTTAGGAAGCAGCCTTTAATCAAGCTTCTGAGATATGCCTCTGAAGTTATGCTAAGGACATTCTGTGGTAGATTTGTATCTTTATTGCCAAAAACCAAAACCTGATTTTGGTATGTTCTTGTTGACGGTTTATATTCTCTCCGAGACTTAAGGAAATAAATGCAAATTGCCCACATTGAATACTACAGTCGTGACTGGTTCTCTGCTTGCCACGTCTGTGCTACAACTAATGCAAATAGTGACAAATAGAGAAAATGGATAAACATCTTTTTCATGTTTGTGATAATGAAGAGGTGAATGTAACTCTTGATCGGTTGTTAACCTGTTTCAAATTATTGACCTTTGTTCACTGTTTGGGGTTTGATTTTTATTGAAGATAGAGGGAGAAAATAGTTTTTGCAGCACAGCAAGTGCAAAAGCAGTTATTGATTTCATCCAAGATGAAGGTCATGCAATAAAACCTTCAAATTGGGATCCTTCTAGTTTTACCTTGTTCCTTTATATGAGTTGATAGTAGCAGCGTGTATTGGAGCAGGTGGGAACATGCAGTCTTGGTCATGTGGGCTTGTCACGGGTGTTAGGCAGGGTGCCTGAAAAGTGAAGGATTTAGGATGGATTTCCTGATGTATCTTTAGCTGAGACATGTAAACAAATTACCAATTTCAGATACAGCAGTTTGGAAAAATCATCTCAGAGCTTCTTCACTGTGTGTAAACAACTGGAAAATTGGCACATTTCAGAGCCAGATAGTTGATGTTATTGTATTGTATAATTATATAAGGCTTATGTACGCACATATATGCCTTTGTATATGTACACAAATAACACAAAAGTTCAGTGTTTTTTGACTTTCACTTTGCAATCAGTTTTTTTAGAAACTGGCAAAGGGAAGATCAAGTTTGTTTCTCAAGCCAGTTCCTCAACCTTTCAACATTTGTATTTCTGCATATGTTTGTTAAAGTAAAGACAATTTCCATTTCAAGGCAGATAAAAAAATAATAAACACTGAGCAAAGGAAGTTGCAGTAATCTTTAGCCAGAATATGTTAATGTGGACTAAATTAAAAATAAATTGATGCAGATTTGCTGGCTTTTGTTATTTTTAAATTTACATTTTTTTTGCCTGTGACAGCTCCTTTGTACTGTTAGCTGGAACTGTAATGAGTGTGTTTCCATCACCGTGGCATGATTGCATTGCTGAGGTGGACTCTAGGCAGCTTCTTCCACCTACCCATGTTCAACGTGCCCAGTGGAAGGATGGGTCCTGTGCAGAAGACGTCCTGTTTTGAAATTGCGCACTTGTTACTGTAAAGTCCTCTTCAGAGATCTCCATTCTGGGTTTTCCTGAGGATCGTGTTAGTCTTATTTTACGCTACCGGTAGAAATGGTCACTCGCTAGTGACCGGTACTGGGGAACATGAGTTAACATTGCATGCGGTAGTGCTGAGGCGATGGGAGAGCGGAGGTGTAGGAGGGAACTGTGTATCTGTTTCTCTGCTGCAGGACTGGAAGCAAATGTGCCCCGCTGGGCAGAGTTGCTCAGGGAAACACGGCCTTCTGAACCACTTCCCCACGTCTTCTCCCGTACCTTCATGTGAAATCTCTGCTTGCCATGGGTGATGGCATTTGCTGTGATACATACACATGAAGGTCTGCTGAGGCAGACAGCAGCTACATAAAGCACTTTGAGAGCTCTGTTGTAACTGATTTCAGCTAAATCTTCAGTTTTACCTATATCTTTTTTCTTAAAAACTTTATTTGTTGTCTTTTCCTTTCGCCTGGCTTTTGAAACGCCCTTGCTTTCATCTGTGTGAAGTCTTTCTCCTGAGGATAAAGTTTGCCTCTTTTTCTCCATCACAATTCATCTTTGCACTTCTTGTCCTCTTCTCCGTCAGCTTCCTACCACTACCTTATGGACTGACTACTCCTTCTCTCTTTTGCTCCACCTCACATCAGTTTTGACTGTTTGACTTCTCTGGTGACACCAGTCTTGGCCACCTATTTGCCAATTTCTCATACCAAATCTGTGGTGTGCGGTTTCTGACCTAAAGGTTCTGACAGGAAAAGTTCTGTCACTGTGCTCTTCTAGGCTGCTGAATGGACAATTGAATTTCTAATTAACTTCACTTTCTGGAACAAGACCAGGTTGGGAGAAAACCTGCCAATCACCCTGGTTCCCACCTTTTTGTCCAAACTTTTGTTAGCTTGCTTGCCTTTAGATTGTAGGCTACTTCGAGCCATTTTCTGCTTATGAAGTGCCAAACATGACTTTGACTGCATTATCACAAACTAATGATTGCGCATATGACACTAAATGGCCCAGGGCTGATAAATAGTTTTGTTCACATTTATTTCTGGGGTTTATATTGTTGTGCTATCCCTTTTGCCTGGAAATTCTGTAGCCTCTGCAAGGTAAAGTACTGAGAAAGAATGCTGTATATTTTGAGTAAGTTCTAATGTACAGATGGATTCCTTACCAGCATGAGGCACAATATGTCAACTAGTGACATTTCAGTAACGAAAACAAGATGCTGCAGCATCGTTCTTTTTTTTTTTTTTTTTTTTTTTTTTTTTTTAACTTTTGGTTGTCAAATTGTTTTTAACAGAGATACCAATGTTAGCAGTAGGGCTGATCTGTATGAAAACATGCAATTTAAACTCTGAAATGCAGAGCATCTGCTACGCTGAGCCTCATCTTAATTTAGGAGAAAAAGATGTAGGTTTCATGTGTAAGGACTGAACAGTGTCCTCACTGGTAGTTGTTACTTTTTGTGTCTCTGTTGGTCTCTGCTATCTAATTTTTTTTTAACTGCTTTTTGAAAACTAGGACACAAGTTGACAGATCTTGAAAGAAGAGAACTACTGGCAACAGCAGCGTCTTTGTATGTGGCTGAACAGCTGAGATCACAGCAATTTCTAGGGACTCCAAGGTAGGTTCATTTCTAGGAACTCAGAAGTGCTGATGCGTTTTCTTAATGGCATCTTCTTATGCACGAGAGACACTGGTGAGAAACTGCATGGTTTCTTAATGTAGTCTGTTTTTTCTAAATTCAAATGAGCTGCGGCTTACATTTCCCTGCTCACACAAGTCATACATGATTATTTTTATTCTACATATTAGCAAACTAATAGGCACAAAAATGTGTTACAAGCCAGTACAGTAATTAATGCACATCAGGAGTTTCATTAATGCAAAATGTTGCTGCATTAGTAACTAACCACAAATTGAGCATCACAAATTTCCCATGTGCCCATTTGAAGCGATCTAAGCACTTTGGGATAATATGAATATTCAGCCACAGGTTTTTAAAATATTGTGGATTCATGAGTAATTTGCTACCTTGATGAAGAACCTTAATAGTTTAGGGTCTAATTCTGAAAACACTTTCTGATTAGTAAATGCTGGAGGAGTCAGCACCTTGCTTTACGTATGGGTTTTTTGGTACTTTTTCCCCCCACTCCCTCATTCTTTTGGATAGTAGCTGCTGGTAACCTAGGTAGTACTGTTAATTGGCTGCCATTGCAGTGCCTTGTGTCAAAATACTAATTCGCCACTTTGGCTTTTTGGAAAAGTATGCTTTTTTCCTCGAGGATGCTTCTAACTTTTGTGGTCCTTTGGCCCAATGTTGTCAGTACCTTGAGACCTTCTGTTGGAACAATTGAATTTGTGAATCTTGCTTGGGTAGTTGGCATTTGCAATGGCTGCATACAGTGAATCCTAACTTCAGCATGACTCTTTCTTCTTGCCTCTCATTCTTTAATGTAGTTGCATGTGTGTTTGTGTGAGAGAGAGGGAAGTCAGAATGCAGGATAGACATTATTCACATTCCATGCCAGTGGTTTGACAGTGTATTCTATTACTGATTTTACAGTGGTCAGGAATAAATCAAATGTGGTTTCAAGAAGTCTTTATTTTTATTTGTACCCACAAAGATAAATAGTACCATATGGTGTTAAAAAAAAAAAAAAAAACACCAGAAAAAAAGAAAGAGACACAGAGCAAGCATAATGGCTTTGTAATACATAGCATATGTAGGGCTGGGTCATTGCTTGCCTTATGCACCTAGAGAAGAAAGTAAAGCACCTTTTTATTTCCTTCCACAAGTTATATCCTCCATAGCAAATGGCATAAGGAGAAGAACAGACACTCTAAGGCCACTGTTCCCTAAATAAAAGATGAATGAGGGAAAATAAGGAGGAGCCCTGATCGTAGTTTTTATTGGCCAGGATAGGAAGTTAAGTAGTCTGGTACTGCTATAGAGAAGTAATGGATTACTTTGTACGTAGAGTAAGGATAGGAATTGTTGATTTAAGTACTGATTCTCAAACTGCTGTTGCATTCCCTGCTCTGATTTGAGATTTTTTTTCTCTGGCCTGTAAAATGTTCTTGCTAACAAGAAAAGAAAAGGAGTCCAATTGTTTAAGAATCTTTTAATTTCTTCTTTCAATAGCAAATATTTTCTTTCAATACTAGGTACCTCTGTATCTTCATTTAAAAAAAAAAAAAAGACATATACAGCTATTTTAACCAAGATGTCAAATATGTAAACAAAGTATTGCACTGAGCAGTCAGGCATGGTCATTCATCTCTTTTCGTTCTGCATCGAGGAAACAAATACACTCCCGATTTGGAAAAAATTAGCTTATTTTTTGAGTCCTTCTAACCTAACTTCTTCCATTCCAGCATGAGCAGAGAAAGCAGCTGAGTCTGACCACATGAAATTTGTGCTTGGTAAGACTAGATTAAGGTCTGATTTTTCAGATTTTAAATGGTGGAACTAACAAATCTTTTCAATACGGGGAAGATCACTTTCTCTTACCATGCTGGGGTGTACATTCAGCTCAGCTTTCAAAGGATGATCTTTTCTGTCTGTTGTGACATATGCAGCTCTGGAATGAATCCTTCAGAGATTGAGCCTTAAAATTTTCTTAAAGTGGTGTCTGAGCGTGGTTCTTAGTGAATAGGTCATTGTTTCAATCCGCATATATTGTTAGATGTACTAGTCATAGTGAGAATAAAGCTGCCTGTTTGAGGGCAAATAAGGATGAGGTTTAATGCAAAAGGCTTACTGGTATTTAACTTCTGAAGAAATCCAAACCTGATAATGATACCCCTTCCCTAAAATCATGCAGCTCCTTCAGAGGAAAAGCCAAAGAAACAAAGGCGGAACGAGGTCGAAGGATTGTGCAGTGTCCTGGACAGGGTTCTCCACTCCTTAGAGCAGCCAGTGGACTCCCTCTAGAGGGGACTGAGGACTGTGGAGCGTACAAGTTACTGCAGTCCCATCAAGGATCCCTCACAGCATCTCCTTAATTTACCCAAACTGCATCTGACTTGGTTTTGAAGGCGTTCCATATCATGGGTACTTTTTAGGGAGCAGGATTGTGGCCATAGAAAGCACATCTTTATTGGTATGACTGCAATCTGTTTGAAAAATATTAGTAAATAAAAAGCGCAGAATAGGAACCCATGCTACTGGCAACAAATCAAAAAGGCCAGTTGTAATCTTGGATGCGGTTCACAGTGGCAGAATTGGGCATTTGGAGTCTGTGTGAATTTTAAATCCATATTGGAGGATGCAAGCGGATTAGACAGACTGCATGTTCCAGAGTTGATCCATAACATTCTCCTAATGGTTTGGAAAACTACAGCGCCATGTTGATGATCATCTTCAAAATTTCAGCTCTCTGGCACTATTTATGTTGACAGCATTTTTTTTTATTTTTTTTTTTTTTTGCATTCACTGAAAGCAATTGAGGAATTTTTGTGTGAGGAATTGCACTGAAAAGTGGTATTTTGAAATCATGCATTACTACTTCTAAACTTGTCACAGCTGCCAAATAGACTTTTTTTTCTTCTGAACTTGAGTTATATGCTTATCTTTGGTTTTGGTTTGTTTTCTTTTCCCTTTTGGGAGCCATATGTATAATACACATTCTTTTCACAACTGCAGGGGTATTTCAAGTTCCCTTTTTTCCCCCCCCATAATTTATTCAGCCCAAGCTCAGGATTGTTATTCTAGCCAGATAGATAGATAGAAAGAACCATGCTTGGAAGTCTTCACAGGAGCTCAACCTTTCACTATCAGTGCTACTGAGGCTGTGACCAGATGAAATGGAGCTGAGCCAGATTAAGGAATTGTTGTCCCAGTCTGCTCCTCCCTTGGTCTCTGCCTTTTCCCTCCTCCTCCTGATATGCAGGGACAATGTTGTGTGTAGCTGCTTTCTACTCTGGTTCTGCTAAAATGACCCACATTAGCCTAGAAACAGTTAGTGATGCCTTACTTTTGGTCATTCTGACAGAACCAGGGTAAGTACTCATGACATGTGAAATTGTTCTCCAAGAGCTAGAGAGGAATGTGTAGCAAGGAGGAAGAGATGAGCAGATAATGGCTCCTAAAAGGGACACAGAGGTGGGCCTAAGCTCTGTGCCACTGATCACGCTAGTAGCTGCCTTGTGAGGGGGGTTCTCCTCTACAGTCGATGGCATTTGCAGGGATGTGACTGGAAAATGTGTTTTGCAATCCCCCGGGTGAATGAATCGTCAACTGTAAGGTTCTTGCTGGAACACACTCTGATGATCAGCCAGCTATTGCCTCATTAGGATCAAACACTGAACTTTCTTCAGCTACTTTCAATTAGGTGTGACCCCCGTGGCGGGATTCTTTGTTGCAGTAGTTTGTGTGGCGTTGAGGTTAATACAGGCCACAAGTTGAAGGCTGCTTTGCCTTTCCTGTGTTAGAATAAATTGTGTTATGATTTGGGTGGAGCACCCACAGGTGAGTTTCCACTATCTGCATTGCTATGTGCCCCTGGCCTCAGCAACAGTCTCCTAGGATTAATTTGCAAACCTTTAGCTAGAGCAGCTTCTGGAGACCTGTGCGTGCTCCGAGTTACAGCCGTATAGACATTTACTTTTGTTCTGCAATATTTAATATTTAAAGCACTTTCTGTTTTCTTAATTTAACTGGTTGTTATTTAACCAGTTTTCTTGGGGGAAAAAGGTGGTTGTGGGGTGTGGTAGTTTTTTTTTTTTTTTTTAAAGATAATTACCTAATGCAAATGCTTTGTATTTTGTGAGCCAGGTACTAATGTGAATATTTCACTGTGATAGCCAGATAGTAGGGACACATGTTTCCTACAGGAAAGAGCCGTGAATGTTTGATGACTGTTTCATTGTTCGGTTTTCAGTTATTTCACCTAGGACTTTTCCTACTTATTCCATAGTCCAGTTTATTGTGAAACTGGTGCCACCCACAGCTGCTGAACAGATTTACAGCATCTAGTAAAATCCCAAGGTCTTCTAGACAGACCTCGATCTTGTTTCAAGTGGAAACATATTTTGGCTGAAGTCAATCCAGCTTATTTTACGTCTGTTTGATGTAGTTAGCCTTTGAGACCAAAAGTGATGTTGTACAGTTGAATCTTCACATTTTGGCTTCAGACTTGTTTTCATTAGTGGGTTGGGAGGGGAATAGGAGAGTGACTCTCCAGGTGTGGCTACATCATGCTATCTCATGGGTCTACTAATGTGTTGTTTATACTTCTAAACCCAATTGCCTACAGCACTTCCTATGTGTTGCTTGTGTTGGCTGCTAAGTGTATTTTCCTAATTTTTCTATGGGTTTTACCCTTTCATCATTTATGACTTGGAAAAAAACAGTGAGGCTGCATGCCCGTATTACCTGATACTACATGCAAAAAGATGGTAACACACTGGAAAATGTTTTATATTGCTAGAAAAAAACTAAAGGTTTTTCTTGCTCATGTGTTTTTAATATAGAAGGCTGGCATTAGGGAGTCTTGAGTTAAAATCCTAACTATTCTTGCGGGACCTTACAGAAGTCAGTTGGATTGGGCCTCAGTTTACAAAAAGACTAAATGGCCTTAATACTTTACTACATTATTTGAGGTTTTGTACATATTTGTT